GGTGGTGACGCTTTTTGCTCAACAGCAATACAGTTCTCCTGCATTAAGAGAAAGGATCTTACATCCATTTCTCAGTCAGATACACTGCTGAGCAGGGAGATGTATGCTTTTCCTCCACCAAGAAAAGAATGTGCTGCCTCTGTTAAATTTTGAGATACAGCATAATCGTGGGGTTTACCAAATTTACCAAATTATGTTTAGCCTGCTATATTCCAAACAGAAATAGACCATAAACTGCTCTGTATAAACTATGTGAGGCATCTTTTCCTGAGCATCCCAATATAAATTTGCAGTATAATGCTGGCAAGAGGTTTTTGTTTTTGTTTTTTTAATTCAGCATTACAAGTAGAAAACGAAATTAAAAAAAAAAAAAAAAAATCACATCTCACCTGAAAATGCTACTTGATAATTTCTCCATTATATCTTCTAAGATGGGTATCTAAGAGGACTGTCAAGGTAACAACGTATCTACAGATAAATCTTTCTATAATCACATTTGCTGGCAAGAGCCCTGTATTGATACAAAACCAGCAGGATCAAGGCAAAATGAAAATTAATCTTAATTCCAGTCTTTAGATCAGATTTATGCACTTGTTTGTATGTCAGAAACCACCTTTCCTGAAATAGTATGCAGAAATGAAATACGGCAAATAGAATTTTGAAAAATAAAGCAAAAGTGTTAAGATTGACAAATGCTGCCCGTGCTAGTACAACATTAATCAACCAGAATGGCAAGTGCCTTTTTTGTGCAGAATGAATATGACAGTCTCTGGTATCAGTTAACTGTCCCTACTATTCAAACAGACATCTGAGGTAAAAATCAAAATAAAGTGGGGAACATAGCAGAGCCTGTAAATTCCTGGAGCACTCCCGTGCATCTGTAAGGGATCTTTGAGTTAATGGCTAACAATGCAACAGATGATTCTGTATTTAGTCTTTACATGAAACTCAAAAAATAATGTTCCTTCCTTCATTTTAAGAGCAACGTGGTTAATATTTGAAGCTGAAGCCATTTAAAAAAGTGATCAGCTTGTGATTTCTTCAGATGATATTAATACCATATGCTCAAGAATTTCACGAGATCCAAAAAAACCCCCGAACAAACCAAACCAGATTTTTCCTTTCAACTTCAAGGGCTGTTGTGATAAAACGTGCTGTTGTTATTAAAGACACGCCAGGAGACAACAGAAGAAATCTTACTGTTTAGTGAGCTTACTTTTTATGTGGATAACTACTCAGTAAGCACTCAACAAAAATACCAAACTATAAAATGATTCATGATAACCTACATCCCACAAATATTTCCATAGTGTGCCTGACCTTGCCTAAACTACTCTGCAGTTTAGTGGAGGAGGGGAGGAGTTCCTTGCAGTACAGTTAATCGTTTCACAAAAATAATGACTTAATCCTCACCTGCCTCTGCCGTTCCGCTAAACTGCAAAAGTGATTCAGCAGATCTCATAATCTGCAGTGCAGTGCGGAACAGGGAGGGTCCTTAAAGCCATAAACAGATAAACCTTCCATTACTTGAAGTCATCCTCTGAAAACTGTCATGCTAGTAAAAAGCTCAGAGTTCAGTGGCTTCAGACCAAGTGTAGGTAATGGAAACAAAGGAGGCATTCCTCTTCCCACACCCACATCTTTGCTCAATGAATTTTATGTATGTAACATTGCAAATAAGGAAAAGGTTATGAAGCCAAAATATTTTCACTTTTACAGTCTGATTGCATTAAGATTTACAGATGATGCATCTACGGCCCAAAAGAACAACAAAAAAAATAATTCCAAAATGTCATCTGCATAATATAAAAACTTACAGAATCAAATCTTCAATTAATTGTTTCAATCTTGAATCAAAATACTGCATTTTCTCCAGAACATGTGTTTTCTATTTCAGTACTGCTTTTAATGAAGTATGTAGAGACATACGTTTAGAAGGAATGCAGAGACTACCTTAAAACACACGTGTAAGTTATATTTTAGTTAGAGTGTATGCTTAACTGTGCTGACCTTTAAGCCTGTGGTTACATGACTGAGTAGAAGAGAATCTGTTAATTGGTTTCTCAGTTATATTTCCATCCACTCGTACTAGCAGTCAGTATTCAAAATGACTATCAAAAGGATATAGAGGTACTTCCCTTGCTGTATATTGGACAAGTTCCATATCTCATCATTCAGAAAGGAGATGGTGGCTCCTTTAAGAAACAAGGAATGGCTATCTGGAGGATCCAGCTTAAACAAATTGAAGAAAAATGTTATTTAGTTACATTTTCCTATACAAAAATAAAAGTTAAATGGTTATTTTATATAGATGGTTAAAACAAACAAAACCCCATCCCTTGCCCATTCTTAAACCTTAGCACACTTGTAGTATTTACAGCTTAAATTGATACTTTTCTGTCTTGTCAAACAGTTTAATACCCTGAGCTACACAAAATAGGTCCTTTAAACTTTGTCAGTTTATTAACATATCTTACTACCATCTCAGAGAAGACAGCCCCAAAATTTTCCCAAAGGTAAATAAAACTATTTATTATTAATGCTGTATACTACCCATTTTCTGGATGTGAAAATGTTCCCAAGCGAAAACTGATGTTATTTAACAGTGGGGAACCATTGGGCCACGACAGCAGCTCACAGACACATCCATATATATATATATATACACACACACGGTGGCAGACATCCTTATATATACTGTGGTACAAACTAACTTAGTAACACAGTATCTTTACCTGAAGATGTTTTTCTGTTGTTATCCAGTGTCCCCCAACACCAAGAAGAGTAATGATATCATGCTTATGAGGCAGCAACTGTGATTTTGAAGTTGATTCATCTTCAGCCCTATATAATTTCACTGGGGCGGGGGGGAGAACAAATTAATTTGAGCTCAGAAGAAAATTCTGTTCAAAAGAAAATACCCATCTCTTTCTGTACTGAAAACCACATTATCTTGGGATTCTTTACAATCCTATGACTTCAGACAGAAATTAGTTGCAATATATGCGTATGAATAAGGGCAAATCGTGCCTGACAAATTTGGTGGCCTTCTATGATGGGGTTACAGTGTTGGCGGATAAGGGAAGAGCAACGGACGTCATCTAACTGGACTTGTGCAAAGCATTTGACACTGGCCCACAGCACATCCTTGTCTCTAAACTGGAGAGACATGGATTTGATGTATGGACCACTCGGTGGATAAGGAACTGGCTGGATGGTCACACCAACAGTTTCCGG